GGTGATTGGCTGGGCCATTCCAGCAGCTTTAGTTTCTCATTCCACATTATTACAAATAACTTCATTTCTGGACATTTATGGTTTGATTTCTTTGTATGTATGGATCACTTGGGTTGTTACCAACATCTGGTGAAAAATTTCATGTCATTAGCACCTCTAGTAATATATTTACTGAGAAAAATGGTGACGTGTTCAATACTTATTTTACCTGCTGTATTTGCCTAATTTTAAAAGAGCCAAACAATGTTCCGTGTTCTGTATGTTTTTAGTTTCTGCCATGACTGTAGTATTAAGCGTTTACTCGTGCAAAAAAGAGGCCACGTTCATAAATCACCCAGCCGGAGCGTCGGCTTTTCGTCGTTCCACTGCTGCACATTCAGCACTCTGGTTCGCTGCAGTGTTTCGGTCACTGCCACCTCAGAGATTACAGCTGAGATGCGGCTAAAAGAAGCGAGCTCCGCCCTCACCATCAGACTCGACATGCCTATCCCGCCCAGGCGAGGGCAGACGTAGTTCCACACACCGATGCTCCCGCGTCGGATCTTCTGACCCACAGCCAGCTCCAAGAAGAAGAGCGGGATGCCGATGATGAGGAGGAGGATGAAGTAAGGAACCAAATAAGCACCTGGAAAAAAAAGGGAAACTAGATGATGCTTTAGATGTTTTCAAAGTCTTTTTATGTTTACGAACATAATCGAACTGAGGATTAAGTCTCAAAATGTGCAGAAACAGGCAGCTATTGAAATAATTACATTTTGTCAAAATTAAATGAATAACAACCTTATCTGCAGGTCATTTCAATGAAATATCTATGTCTTACATAATTTTTTGGCCTTATTCCCTTGCGAGCTAGCAAAGTTTTTTCTTTGCTCCAGCTGGTAAATCTTGATATCCAAAAATTATTAAAGGTTTCCTTTTTAAAATGACATAAAAAAATCATCAATAGATTAAACTAAAAACAGGATTCAGACCAAACATCAATGAGGTTTCCTGATTATCAGGACATGTCTCTGGAACCACTCATGATATCTAATAATATGCTCATGTCATTTTGACCAAATTTGACTTAATCCTCAGTTTGATGTGATGGGTCACAAATATTGACTTTCGCCATAAGTTTACTAAAAGGCAAAGGGACAAACCTTTTGAACAAATGGGCTCAAGTTGTGAAGAAAACGAGATGATATTGTGCTTTTTTATGTTGTTCGCTTTTTGTTGTTTAAATGAAATTTAAAAAAACCCCTCCATAATCAAAATGTGCATTCAAAATTAATCAGTATCACCAGATCTGAACCCACTGGACCAAATATCGTCATTAGAGAAACAAAGAGAGTATCTCTGCTCTTTCAAGCAAAGATCTCAGGTGACACATTCGTGCTCCAGGTATGACTCTCAGCTACTTCCACACCAAATTTTAGCTCAGTCTCTGAAAAAATGACTGAGTTGAAACATTTCACGTTAACTGTGGCAGCCATCTTGAATTAAAACACAGGCAATTAAATATTTGGCCTCCTTTCATGATCTGGCAACATAACTCGATAACCTGGCAACTTACAGTTGGTGAATGACTTGTTAAGACATTTTCGGCCTTAGATTTGAGCTTGTTTTTAGTTTACAGTGAATCCTGTATTCATGTTGTTATGTTTTATGATGTGTCTGTGTGTGCTTCCAGAAACCATTGATTGATGATTCATTTAATGCATTTCTCAGAAAGTAATCACTGGAAGCACATTTACAGCTGGGAACATCCTTGACCCATGAAGGGTCCAGTTTGACATTTAGAGCTCGGATTGGAAAACTGTTCGCATCAAATCATAATTTGTCCAGTCTCAGGACGGGTGAATAAAAAAACACACTCAGTGACAGACACGTCTCCTAGAAGGCAGAGTAACGAGGCAGAGAGACGAGAGACTAAATGAAAAGCTGCTAAAACCAGACAGGAAGTTAAATGTAGTGAGGACTTTCAGCCAGGATTCATAAATCAGCTGTAAGTGAGCACGCTCCATCACACACTGTAGTAAAACAGAAGGACGGGTTAGAAGATGATGAGACCACCACACAGCCCACACAGTGATAACTAACACAACTCTGCTCTTTAATGTGTTGCTAATTGTCAGGCAGCAAATTACAGTGTGAAAAATGTCCGCTGGCCCGCTCCCAGCCCCTGGCGAGTCAGAGGGGAGACGGCCCCGCAGCTGAATCAGCCTCCAGGCGATAAATCAGAGGCGACGTCAGCAGTCAGGTGTTTGTCCTGATAGTAAAACCTGGCTTTCATGCATCCCAGATAAAAATAAAACCTCCTCACCATACGGCTCCATGAATGTATTTCCTCTCTGTTTACCGGAGGATCAGATGAGCTCAGCTGGACCCGGCCAGCTGCAGAAATCAATACAGCAGCTATTTATAGACTTTTCTGAACAATGCAGCCACTCGCCTGGCTGCTCTGAACTGAAGAGAAGAGCTGAGGAGGGTCGTGATGGATGAGCTCACAGAGGCACCGAAGTCAACAGCTGGAAGAGCTTTGTTTGTTTGTTTGGTTGTTTGTTTTAGATAAACAAGAAGCTGTGACCAAAAGTAAATACCAGTAGAACAACTTTCCCTGCAAAACTCCAGTCTGAGTGTTGAGTGACCGCTGGAATCTACTGAAGAAGTGGAAACTGAGAAGCAGAACACCAGCTAAAGGTTAAGGAAGCTAAAATAAGCAAAAGAAAAAATATATACTTGCTAAAAACTTAAAGAAGAAAAACACTAGCTTAAAAATCAAAACACTAGCTGAAAGCTAAATGAAGTGAAACACTAGCTAAAAGAAGAAACACACTAGCTAAAAGCTTAAAGAAGTAAAACACCAGCTAAAAGAGGCAAAACACTAGCTAAAAACTAATAAAAACAAAACTGCAGCTAAAAGCTAAAGAAGCAAAGCACTAACTTAAAGCTAAAAGAAACAAAATACCAGCTAAATGCTAAAAAGGCTAAACACCAACAGTGGGCACTAGTCCCCTAAAGCGCAATAACGCTTATTGTGGACTAGGGTTGGGCATAATCGTATCGTGTGATTAATCGTCAGAAAAACATTAATCGATTAATTTTTGGCACTTGACAATTAATGCGATTAATGCCAACAGGTAGAATCCGCTCGCTGCTCCTCTCAGCTTCAAATATGACAAACATTAAAAAAGTTCTGTAACTTATTTATCTATCAACACAATTTAAAATTTGATGTACAGCCTGAAGTCTGTAATTTTGACACAATTTGGAACAGATTTTGATGAACTTTCCCACTAAACTGGTCATGTGACTATGAAATAAGGGGGTCCAGGGACTCCAGGGGATTAATTGTCAAATTAATCGTTATCAGCTAAACACCACAATTAATCGTGATTAATTTTTTTGCCAATATTGCCCAACCCTATTGTGGACCAAAATGTTTTGTTTGCCCTTTAGGGATGAAAACACTAACTAAAAGCTAAAAGAAACAAAACATTAGCAAAAAAGCAAAAATGCTAACCAATTTTCAAAAGTAGCAAGATGCTAGGCAAAAGTAGCAAGAAGCTAGGGAAAAACTACATGTAGCAAAAAGCTGCCCATAGGCTAAATGTAACAAACTGGTTGCTAACAACTAAAGGTTGCATAGAGCAAGTTTGCTAAAGCAGATCTAAAAAGAAAACAAACAAACAAACAAACAAGAATTGTACCGAACTTGGTAAAAATGAATCCATAAAGACACAATAAGGACCAAAATATCAGATCATTTTTCTGTCGTTTTCTGACAGGTTTGTCTTCAGAAGTAGCTAAACCTTTTAACTTCTCCGTCGGCAGCTGTAGCTCCAGGAAATCTCTTCCTACAATGTTCGGGGTGTGAAGCTTGGGTGATCCTTTTTTCTAATGGCTTCACTGCAGACCTGATAAAGTGATAAATCATCTAATTTCAACGAACAGTGTATTATTATGAGCCTTTTCAGATTGAGAAACTGAAAGTCATAACTCAACAATGAAAACTGCCTCATGTTGACTCACGTTGCTAACAAAGCTAATCAGCGTTGTGCGTGTTCATGTTTATAGTGAAATCTGACAGGACGTGGCAGCTGTGAGGATCATTTACCTCCTCCATTCTTCTGGCACAGGTAAGGGAAGCGCCACACGTTTCCCAGGCCCACGGAGAAGCCCACCTGGGCCAGGATATACTGCAGCTTGCTGTTCCAGGCGGGCCTGCCATCATTCTCTGGCGCCTGGATCTGCGGGACCTTTTTCCCAGCAGCGGCGGCGGCGGCGGCGGCCCCCACATTCAGGGAGCTGCTCTTGTAGTCTAGCGGCTCCTCGTTAGCGAGCAGGTCGGCCACGGACTCGGTGACCGGCTCGTGGCTCTGCTCGCTCTGCGTCACCTTGCTGTTCTTCGGCATTGAGGAGGATGAGGGTCCAGAGGTGGGGGGAGAGGGAGCAGGTGCAGAGAGAGACAGAGAGAGGAAGGATGACAGCTGGATTCCAGATGTGAATTTTCAGTCCTGCATTTAAAAAAAATAGAAACAAACTCAGAAAATGTGCAACAGCAACAAGAGTGGTTGGTAATGTTTTTGCTCATGTGTGCTCATTTGTTTGTCTGTTAGCAAAATATCTCATAAACCACTAAATAAATTTTATTGAAACTCTCAGAAAGTAATCCCTGGGTGTACCTCTACAACTGATCACCTTTTGAAGTCAACCCATTTCAAGATGGCCGCCACAGCCAAAGGACATTTGAAAAGCCAACAATGGCTGTAACTTAGTCAACTTTAAAAATATTGTGATAAAATTTAGAGTGGTGGTAGCTGAGAGTCATTCAAAACTTATGCTCTAAGTGCTTCTGATTGAGCAACATCTTTACTTAAAACTTTAGCATGAACTGTTGTTGAAAAGGCTGTTTGTCTGTTAGCAAAATATCTCATGCATCACTCGATGGATTTAATTGAAACTCTCAGGAAGTAATAATTAGATAAACATCTAAAACTGATGCACTTTCCAAGTCACCTTGATTTAACATGGCTGCCACAGCTAACCTACATTAGCCCACACAAAACTGACTCTAGAGGGTTTTTTTTCCTGAAACTAAGCTAAAACCTGACGTGGTAGTAGGTGAGAGTCATTCACAACACATACTCTGAATGCATCATCTCATACAGTTCTTACATTGGTCCTCATATTACCCTTTGTAGTTCTGCTGACCCCATTATTTCTCCATTTAATGGTCGGTTAAACCTGTAGTAAAACTGCAGCCCGTGTTTCTCCAGGATCATTACCGACGTCAACACAAAGACAGCCGAGCATTTATGTGAACGCCACTAACCATGACTTTTCCTCTGTTACGCAATATTTTTCATTCCAAAGTTTCTAATCCTGCAAATTGTTCTATTTAATTTCTCTGCTCCGCAAAAGCTTAACTTCAGCGATTTTTATTTATTTATTTATTTATTTATTTATTTATTTATTTTTATTTCTGTAAATCCTCTAATCCTCTCGCAGTAACGTCCATCCCAACCCTCCCTTTTTTCAGGGAAATGTTTGCTTCATCCTGAACATAAGGGAGGAAGTGAAAAAGCTGCTCTTCTGATCCACGTCACATGATACAGCCTCGGTGTTTATTAAATAATCTGCTGGATTGAATCTGTACAGATTATTTGACTAAGAAATAAAAATAAATTAAAGGAAGGAATGCATATCACCCGCTGACTTTTCTATGAGGTTTAGACCATGATCAAGTTACTTTGAGAAATAAAATGAAGGAGTTGAACCTTGAAAATGATGTTACGTGCAATCTTATGCTGTCATGCTCAGTGTCTGTGTTGTGAATGACTCTCAGCTACTACCACATCCAACTTTTTGCCCAACATCTGTAAAATTGACTGTTATAGCCATTTATATGTTACCTAAAATCCATAGGCTGTGGCAGTCACCTTAAATTGAACTGACTCTAAAAGTTAATCAGTTGTAGGTAAAGGATTAATGATTCTTTTCTGAGAGTTTCAATATGTTTTACTAGCAGTTTATGGGATATTTTACTAACAGACAAACACAGTCGACTTCAATAGTTAATGCTAAGTTTTAAGCAATATTTAAGTTCAAGAAGTGGCACTTGGAGTGTGTTTTGTGAAAACCCTCAGCTAAAAACACTCCAAATTTTTAACACAATATCTGTCAATCTGACTGAATTACAGCCATTTATGTGTTTTCTAAGATCAGTTGTGGAAACCATCATGTAATGGATTGTCTCCAAAACTTAATCAGTTGTAGTGGTACATCCAGTTATCATTTCCTGAAAGTTTCATTAAAACCTGTTCTGTGATTCGTGAGATATTTTGCTAACAGACTAAGTATTAAATGCCAAATGCAGATATGGATAAATGCTGAGGGATAATTAACACAAACTGTTTCCTGCACTTTGAGACTGCTTTTTGCTTAACATTATTGGAAGTGTTGGATTACCAGAGATTATAAATGCCATGAATACTGATGTTTTTAGCACAGATGTGCACTAGCTTTTCACCATCGTAGCTCTCACTGCCTAAAATAAACGTTCTCACCATCAGCACATTCTCCTGAAACACCTGAAAACGTCCACAAACAGAAAAGTTACATGTTCACAATCTTTTAAAAACTTGATTTGTTGCCTTTTTAGTGTGTTGCTTTTGAGCCGTTGATGCAATAATCCATGAGCTGCTATTTCCAAGTCTCCATAATCCAGCCTGCATTAAGCCCAACCCCGCCTCCTCGCTCTGCTTTGTGCCTTGTCATTCATTTCAAGTCTACAAGACTCGTAATATGAGCCGGAAACACATCGGATCACTGCGCCCATGATCCTCCAGGAAAAACAACATAGATGACTGAGGCCACGGTGCGAGTCAGAGAGAGCGACAATCTGTTTTATTCTCGTTAGTCCATCAGTGCTCTGCCCAGGAAGGACGTTCAGTGAAGGGAAATGGGATTTGAGCAAAATGTGCACTTGAATTACAAAATGTCACCCTTGCAAAAATATTTTCGCAGATAATTTCTGAATGTGAAATCACAGAAAAATGATTACAAATTACACAAATATATTAAGAATTACAGAATTTATCATTTAATTATGCATATTTTTAAATTTGAATCTATATTTCCAAAACAACTGAATGTGCTGCTAAGTGTGCACAACTCTGTGACCTGCTACGGATGACCAAGAGGGACATTACGGAAAGCCATCGGTGCCAAAAACCTGACTTTTCATGTGACCTGAGGCACTTTTATGTTGTAAAGCCCCGCCACCGTCAGCCTGGCCTTATTCTACCCCGGCCCTGGTTGTGTTCGCTTTGAGCAGAGTGCCACCTCGATGTGGGTGGGATCATAACATTAAAACACACAAATCTTATTTAGTTTTTATTTGCGACACAACAACGGACTACACCAAACTCGAAGAAAAAGTACCAAAGGCTGTATGTGCAAGTATGACACAGGAGAGGGTAGGATGACAGAAAACAGTAAGCTAATGGTAGCTAATGTTAGCTCGTTTTTTTTGTCAGCTTACCGTCTTTGCAAGTTATTTATGTAAAGTTCAACTCATCTGTGTGACGTGACACCCAGTTAGTGAACCAGTTAATGAGCAACAGTAGCTGGCGTCAAACTGGGCAGACAGACTGAAGATGAAACCACAGGTTTCTGAAGTTTGTCAGGAATTAAAAACAAAGTAATTCAATTCAATTCAATTCAAATTCAAAAATACTTTATTGATCCCAGAGGGAAATTTGGTCAAATATAGTAAATGTTACGTGTTCGACACATATTTTACAGATTTATGTCTCTTTTGGCTAACTGCACTTCCTGGTTGTTTCAGTCGTCTATTTTTATTGGCTGTTCAGACTCAGGGCTAAATCAGTTTAACAAAGAAAAAAGGGTTTTTAACGTTTCAAAGTTGTTTTAAAACAGCAACAACCCAGGTTGCAAGTGGTCCCAGCGAGGAGCACTGAACAGATTTGTGTTAAAGTGTACGTTCATGTGTTTACAGTGCGGCGGGAAAATAAGCATCAGACTTGGTGAATCAGCTTTAGTAATCAGTCTTATTCTCTGTAAATGTCCAGACTTGTTCTTAATTAATGATCGCAGCTGAGCCCTTAAAGAAACTGCAGTTAATCAACTTTTTGACTGAGAAAATCACAAAATGGAAGACGATTTAAAGGACAAAGGCATATTTTTTAAAAGAACCTAAAACAAGTGATTTGATATTTTAAAAACCTAATATTGTAAAATTAAACGCCTAGTATTATTTAAGTAATGTATTTGTCTGCAACCTTTAATGTCGGTGTTTTAGCTGTTTGAATTATTTCATGTAATATTCTGAGATGTCACAAGATCTGTTAATACTTGAAGATTATGTTGAGGGTGACTCTCAGCTACTACCATACCATATTTTAGCTTTTTGTCTGTTATTTTGACTGAGTTACATCCATTTTTGTGTTGACTAGTTTTAATTGGCTGTGGTATCCATTGTTAATTTTATTGACCCCAAAAGTGAACTAGTTGTTGAGGTACATCCAGTGATTACTCCCTGAAGGTTTTGTCAACATCCGATCAGTCGTTTTGGGAGATAATTTGCTACTAGACAAACAAAGTTGACTCCAATATTTATTGCTAAAGTTTTAGGGCAAAAAAAATGTCCAATGAGACACACTTGCAGCATGTGTTGTGAAAGACTCTCAGATACTACCACGTCAAATTTCACTGCAACAAATGTAAAATTGATTGGGTTTGAGCCTTTTATGTGTTTTTTAAAACCAGCTGACTGGCTCTGCCTTCTTTAAAACTGTTGGCTCTAAAAGTTATTCACTTACAGAGGTATATCTAGCGATCATTTCCTGCAAGTTTCGTTACAATCCGTCCAGTGGTTCGTGAGATATTTTGCTAACAGACAAGCAAACTAGCGCACGCGCAAAGAAGCGGCCCAAAAAACGTGATCGCTCTCGCGCCCTATGCAGCGGGCGATCACTTTGAACGACCCTGGATGGATATAACGTGAAAAGCAGCGCACAGATGTGGAGCACGTGAGGGGAGCGGCATCTGTACCTGCGTCCGGATTATCATCCCGGGTGAAAGCATAAACACAGTCAAGGTCACGCGCGACTTATTCCTGACCTCTGCCTGGAACAGGACTCGTCCAGGAAAACCCACCCACATCCGAACAACTTCATGAGGTGGAAACTCAAAGTTCCTCAGATGTTCACAGCGAAGGAAGCAGGAGCCGAGATGTTTCCTCCTTACCTTCAGCTTTTCCTTCTGCGGCCTGCAGGAATTATTTCCGGGTTTAACTCCAGATTAAACTGTGGGATGAAATGCGCAGAAGATGTGAAAACATCTTGCGAGCAGGTTTTTCTGTACCGCTGTGGTCCAGACTGAGTCCACAGGACCGGAGAGGGAGGAGGAGGAGGAGGAGGAGGAGGAGGAGGAGGGAGCACCACATCACATGGTGGGCAGGCAGGGAGGAGAGTCCATCAGCATCACCTGCACATCCTGAACTCTGCAGAAAACACGGGATACTGGAGGGTGGCAAAAAGTGTCTTCCTTAATCTACTGCATTTTAAATATACTGGTCTGAATGGTTTTTATAATAACAATAAGGTTCTTGAAGTATTTGGATCGACGTTTATTTTGAAAAGCCATCAAGCACCAGACCAATATGCAAATAGCAGCTTGCAGTTGGTAATTTATTAAAATAAAGTGCACAAAGTAAACGATTCACTCATAATGCCTTCCTTCTATATTTAAAACAGCTGTGAACTGTTTTTTTTTTTTACCACAACGATTATTTTTAGAAGTTTTTATTATAAATTCACACAGTTGAATAATTTATTTACATCCAAAATGAATGAAAACCTGCAGCTTTTGTATCTGGCAGCAGAAACTGCAAGACTGAGACAGAAAAAAAAGAAAGTTTTAAGACTAAAAGTGGTGAATTGTTTGATTTTGAAGAACAAATGTGTGAAAACAGACAAACTAAAAGGAGATTTTATCATAAAAAGTGTTGGAAACAGCTGTCCTCGTGTCTCTGAGGGGATTTGCAGGACTAAAAGCTACAGGACTTTGTCAAACCCTTTGTTTAGCTGAAACTGCTCATTTTGTTCTCTCTTTTACAAGGTCATTAGTTATAACAGGACTTTTTATAAACACTAAACTGTTATAAATGATAGTAAAAATCTCAACATGAGTCGACCTGAGAAACTGGAGCGTTTTGATAAAAGGTTTCTGGAGTTAAACTGTGTGGTCTCTGCTTTATTAAGACACTGCATCTGATACATCTGCAGCAGAAACAGAAGGCCATAAATCACACACACTCACACACACACTCACACACACACACACACACACACACACCTACCCTTTGAAACCTCCGAGGTTGAGCGGGGAGATGGCATCGAGTGGCCATTTTTCATCTTGGCCCATTCGATTTATTTTCTTCGCCCTGCGTGTCTGCCTGCCAGGCTGCAACAATATTAAAATGTTTGACACTTCCTGCTGCTGATGTTTGAAGTCCTGCCTCATCTGAATCAAACATAAAAATGTAAATGTTCTGATTTTATTTACTCTGAGTGATGATGTGTCACATCTGACAGATGTGCAGCTTTTCTGGGTCGATGGCGCCTTTTTTACACAGCAAAAGTGCCAGTGTTAATTTAATACCCACAGTGTTAATTTAACACCCACAGTGTTAATTTAATACCCACAGTGTTAATTTAACACCCACAGTGTTAATTTTAACACCAACAAAGTGTCTATGTGTCCACGCTCGCTGGTGTTAAAATAACATTTGTGAAAGTGTTAAATTTCAACACTCATGTCTTTGTTAATTTAACACCAACCAGTGTTTAATATTCAACAATTCCTGGTGTCACATTAACATAAAAATAGTGTTAGTGTTGAAATGTAGTGTTAACAGTAACACCGTCCAGTGTTAAATATTCAGCAATACTGGGTGTCATATTGACACTTCAACAGTGTTAAAATAAAGTGTTAAAACTACCACCAGTATATTGTTATTAATTTTATTAACAAAGGAAATTGTGGTGTTTGTAAGATTAACAGACACCACTAGGTTTTGTTACACCAACAAACTGAGAGTGTTAAATTTACACTCTCATTCACACAAGGACATACCTCTCACTCATGGTGTCGATTTTTGGCCAAAAACATAAACTTAAAGTTGAACAACTTGATCAAACTGAACAAGAAAACAAACCAGAACAACTAATATTTACTCTCATGAACTTCTTTAATAGTCATAAACATACAAAAACATCATTTCTGCAAGATTTCTCAGCAAGGAATGCTGGGTAAATTCTGGTCTGTCTGACATGAGGTGGAAGAGGGCGGAGCTTTTCACAATACAGTACTTCTTTCAACACTGCATAGTGTTATATAACAACACTGTTAAGTGTTATATAAGACTTAACTGTGGGCGGAGCTTATTTAACACTGTCCAGTGTTGAGAAAACACTGAGGAAATCAACACTGTGAATTAACACCAACACTGGGTGTGAGTGTACTCAAAGTGTTAAAATAACACTAGGGAGTGTTAAATCAACACCCAAAAGTTTAACACTGAAATTTTAACACTCCTGTTTTTGCTGTGAAGCTGTCCGTGTCATTTGTACTAATGTACCCCCATACCATCAGAGAGGCAGGCTCTTGAGTTTTGTGCTCAAAAGAGGCTAGATGTTCCCTTTCCTCTTTGGTATTGATCAAAAAAACAAGATTAGTTTCAGAAAATACAGTAGCTTTTTGGATGGTGTTGGCCTTTTCTTTGCACGATAGAGCTTTAACCAGAACTTGTAGATGTCACAGTGAAYTGTGTTTGCAGTCAGAGATTTACGGAAGTGTTCCTGTGCCTATAATAGAATCAGACCTGTTTGTTACACCACTTACAGGGCTGGACATCTTGTAAATCGTGCTAAACTCGAGTCCTGCGGGCCAAATGTGGCTTGCCGCAGCATTTCCTGTGACCCGCGAGAGCTTCAACTATGTATTAATGTCTTCAGCATGAGATACTTTAAAGCCTTTGACCATTAATTACATCTCCCATAATGCATGTTGATTATTTTACCTGGAAAATGACAGCAGCTCACCTCTGAGGTGCACAGGGTGCAAAAGGAAGCAAAATTCACATGTAAAATCTCCATTCCACTGCATTTACCAGCTACGTGTTTTGCTGCGGCCCTGTTGAACTGGGAAGTGGGAATGTCCCGCTTACAAGTCGTAGATTTAATCTGTAACACCCCTCCAATGGGAATTCCCTGTTAGAAAGTGGGAGAGTTTGGAATTCAAGACATCACAACTCAACAGTGAGTGAAACCCTCTCACTTTAATTCTAATAGTATTTATTTCAATCGTAGTACTTTCTTGTGTTTATAAGGACATGTTAAAGCGATATTTCTATGCAGAAAGTACCACTTAGAGCTATGAGCCGTAGCATTGAGATGAGGTCCATGTTTGTAGTCAAAAATAAACACAAAAGTTGAAGTTAATTATAACTGGCCCTTAGAGTACCACCGCTCACGTGACCCTCGATAACAATGACACCTCTGATCTAAATATTGACCTTCAGTTGTTCGTTTTCTGAACAGACATTTGTCCAGATTCTTAAAATTTTTCGATGATGTGAAATCCAGATGATGGTATTCTAATTACCCAGTTTTCACTTAAGGAACACTATAGTTTTTCAGTAAAACATTCCAGTATTTGTGTTTTTGCAGGATTGTGTTTAAGATCAAATATTTCAAAGCAGATTCTTCCGACAGATTTGTCGTCTCTGCAGCTTTTAACGCTCCTTTCTTCACGCTGACGTCCAGGAGCCGTTGTCACAGCAACCAGAGGCTCGTGTGACGGACGTCGTCTCTTGTCCGCTTTGAATTTGTCTCGTGACGAACGTCTCCGTCCTGATTGGCTCCTGAGCCCCGTGAGGTTTCAGCAGCGTGCTGTAAAAGGCAGGAGGATGTTTTAAATCTTTCAAGAAGCAGGATGACAAAAGTTCCTTCTTCCTTTCCTGCATCACTCCTCCTGTCCCAGCCACGTCTTTCTTTAGATCTCTTCCAGTTTTAGCATCTTTTGGAAGTATTTTTTTTTTGTCTCAAACAAACTGAAACCATGCAATATGTATATTTGACTTGTTTGTTGAGCTATATTATCTCTTCGATATGATCAGCATGGTATCGAAGAAGTTTATAAAAGAATGTACATTATCTTATGTAACCTGAACACTGCCTTTTCAACAGATTAGAAAAATGATGGGATTATGTTGTTAAGACTCTTTCCTCTCTGCTGGAACTCTAACGTGTCCTTGACGAGGCAGCCTGCTGCAGGTGTTTTGATAATTGGACAGCAGTGGGCCTCAGCGACACGCTCACAGTGGTATTTTATTAAGTCTGCATCAGCAAAACCCCAGCCTCAAGGGGCTTTGGGTACATTTGTGTAGTGGCCCCTCTCAGTTTAATGATGATCCAGTAATCCTTCACTGCCCAAGTGCTTAAAGACTTTACTTCATAATGTTTAGATGTTAAAAACATACAATATCCATCAAAACTACATGTTAGCTCTGCTAGCCAGCGCCATCAGCTAATACTCTTTTAGGAACCTAAACTCACTTGTGCAGGAGTGTCCAATCCTGGTCCTTGAGGGCTGATATCCTGCATGCTTAGAGGTTTCTCTGCTTCAACACACCTGATATGAATGAACAGGAGATCAACAGGTTTCTGCAGAACCTGAAGAGGTAATTCAATCACTGAATCAGGCGTGTTGGAGCTGAGGAACAAGTAAAACAGGAAGGATTGAGTCAGCCAGGTTTTCCAAGCTGTTTTACTTGTTTTATCTTTACGCAATACATATTAAAGACATGTTGGGTCCTATTTGGTCAACTGATGGTTTAATATGGCGGAATGTGAAAACTGACATCGTTCGTCTTTGTGCAAACCTGAGCTGAACATTTAGACCCAATATTTGGTCAAAATACCCCAAACCTATGCCTCAACAGCTTTAACCCGGCTGTTTTCAGTGTCCTTTTGCCTCAAATATTTGCCTGTTGAGATAATAGGGTTTCATCAAATTTTTATGGAGTGATTATAAATAAAAAAACACATTTTTTAAGGCCCAACACATGAACCACACAATCCTTTTGAGCCAATGAGATCAGGTCAAAGGTCAATTAGAGATCAAAGTCCAGTCAAAGATACTAGGTATTGAAGTATACTGATAAA